AACAAAACACAAAATATTATAGTTTTTGAGTTTTTAAAAATAATCCAGATATTTTAAGATAATATACAAAACGTTATAAATGTAATTTAACACCCAAGTGCGTCTTTATTCAGTCGATAATGTGATATAAATCTGTAAAGTAACCTTGTATATTTCACATGAGATTCCCTTGGTGCACCAAAGGATTACTATGACCTCTTATTATCTTCCTTTTAGTTTTTTCGTTGCTTTTTTCATCCAATAAAATAAAAGCTGAAATAGCGGAACTCATGGCAAACTTTAATAAACTTAATTCAGTATAATTAAGTTAAATTTATCAAACGCTTTCAAATTTATTCATTTGCAACTTTGGGGACATTAGTAAACAGCTGATTCGAATATTGGTTCGATATGAAGAAAATGTTGTGATTAATTGAGTAATTAATCGATTAATCAAAACAAAAAATTCGATGCAATTAAATTGCTTTCTGAAAAAAAATACGCTTTTAAAGCTAATCATTTGATTAATCTTGCCATCCCTAAATACGAAGTCGGATCTACTCCGTCGAAATTAGCAACGCAATAATGAAATCGACACAGAATAATTAATGGAGCTTGCCATATTAAGTGAGAACCACCTCTTAATAAAATATTTTGTGACCAAGCCTTGATCCGCGATGACTCTGTGAGTCATTATCACCACCGTACACCGACCATTCAAAAATAAAAAAAAAACAAATGGCTTTTTCGGTAATTCAGTAATTATTAATAATCTCAGTGACGAGTAAGATAGCCAAAATTATCGATTTATATTAAAAAGATTAGAACAAAAAGATAATGAATAGTGTAAAAAAAAATTATTAATTGCGAATAGTTTTGAAGTCAAACGGATTATTCCAAAATTGATAGCTTTAGTGCACTTGACGCAATCTATTTCTATTATATCCTATAAATTTAAAAAAAATTCACAATAATATAAAAATTATATTTAACATAAATAACTTACAATTATATTTAAGCTAGCACAGTTGGTTTTTGTGCTTTCTTTAAATGTTGCCAATTACTAGTCTATTGCATAATCCCATAGGATTTAAAGCAATGAAAATCTGACACCATAAAATTATCAATAAATTAACAAAAAATATTAATTTAGCAACGCAGAAAAAGTCTGCGTACAAGTAGTAAAACTGGAACTCCTCGCGGAATAACCATCAATAAAAGTCGAAAAGTTATAGTTTTACTTGTTTTCGTGAAAGTAGCAATTTTAAAAGATTTTTGTGTTATTCAGTTTCTTATTAAGTTTAGAAAATCGAATCTCGCCTAAAAAAAAAGAGATAAGCCTTTCTCAAAGGAAATTAAAAAATTAACTTTCCGAAGAAGAAAAAACATAAAGTGAAATCGGTCGAATTGTTGCAAGAACCAATTCTTCCTTACACAGAGTAATAAAAAATTACAAACGTACTGGCGTGTTTGTATCTCGGCCCATCCATGGCTGCCAAAATTCTAACACAGCGTGAAACTCGTAACCTTATGACAGAAAATGTGAAGCACAACATCCCACTTACTGCATCCAAAATCGCTCTAAATGTTAAGAAAGCTGATTTTTTTGTTCCAGTGAATCCCATAGGTGATATTTAGGATTCAAGTCTGGTAATTTTGGCTTTTGAAGCTGCTTGGGAACCTTGTAGAGGAATCAAAGCTTAACTATGTCTACAGTATGCTTTGGGTCGTTTTCCTGCAGAAAATAGTCGTCACTTCCAAGACCCAATTGTACCGATCTTTTCCTCAAATTTATTTTTAGATATTAAGGTATGCATATATGTCCATGGTGGACTCTATAACTTCCATTCGGCCCACACAATTACTAGCTATGCATCCCCATAGCATTACTTCTTCACCACCGAGCTTCGCAAAGCAACCATGAGAAAAAATTTACTGATGGAAATTCGATGAGTATTTAATAGAATCTTAGAGGTCTTGATAAAAAATCAACTGATTTTATTTAAACAGTTCTTATTATAAATTTTATATAATTGTCTCACATTTTTGCTAATGAGATTTTAAACAGCGAATTTCAAATATTCAGGTGGGATCGACTGAACAGTCACTCGGAGAAGGTGCTCTATTTGTCGTACATTCTTCTCCCCATCCATCCCATCTGAAGATGTCCTCGTTCCTGGTACTGACTCATCCGTACAATAGAGTTTGTGTTAATATTTGCTTTATTTATTTAATTTTATCCTGTATACCTCATCAAATGGACTTATGCAGCTCGCTTCTTTTATAAATAGTGCTATTTTGATGATCAATAGTTCAGATTCCACAATCGTTTTAGGAGAATTCAATTTACCCTCTGCCTCGTGGAAAGCTTCCGATGATTATATGGTATCGATATGCAATCGGTCATACTTTAATGAGTTTTTGGAAAAACGAACGAAATTAAATAAATAATTTGGTAAATGCTTAGATTTGGTATACGTTCATACACCTTCAAAGTGTTTTGTTATTGCTCCAGAGTGATCCTCTTGTTCTACCAGAGGACTTGGATAATCCTGCTTGGTAATAACTGTCGAAATCATAGGCGATGTACTGGACAGTAATTATCAAACTTCTAGCTTCAGTACACGGTTTGACTTTGCAAAAGCTAATTTTAAAAAGTTGAATAGGGAACTTTCTACTTTAACTTGGCTTAATTAAATTGGAGATATTGATTTGAGTATCTCGCAGTTTAATAAAACTAGTAGGCAATTATTTGAAAACATAATATGTTCCAATAGTAATTGTTAATAAAAGTAAAAATGCAAATCCCTGGTTCTCTAAAAAGTTATATAAATTAAAAAACAGGAAAACTCTAGCTTTTAAACTTATACAAAACTGGTTTAGATGTCGACTATTCTAAATATTCTGCATTGCGTCAACAGTATGCAGACATAAACAAAAAATGCTATAATATTTACTTAAATTAGGAAAAAAAAATATTGTACGTAATCCTAAATTTTTTTATGATTTCGTTAACTCCAAACTCAGGATTTCCAAATTTCCATCCGTGATGAAATATAAATCTATCACGTCATGTGGCAATCCCATTACTTTGACAAAAATATTTAAACTACACTATCAATACAATAAATCTCTCGACTCTCGTATGGAAGCTAAATATTTTATGCTTTCAGCCAGGATTTCATCAATGAGTATCTTTTTATCTCAATAATAGAACACAACGAGTGGTATTTAATGACACTCTCTCAAATGCAATTCATGAGGGGTGTTGTGGAATCGGATAGTGGTCGGAATCAGAATTGAAACCGATAAAAAAACGAAGTAGGTGTCATGAATTCAGATATTATTGGTTTGACATCCGAAACGGAAATTGTATCGGTTCTAAGTGTCACGGAAACCAACTTTATCGGTTTTGTTATCAGAAACAAAGCAAGAGGATGTTTACTGACAGATTAGAAATGTAAGTTAAGAAAATAGTTTATATTATTGTTACAATTTTATTTATCGTTATTTCTATGAAGGAAAACATAAGCATAGACCACAAAATGTCATAATTAATTTTTAATTAATTAATTTAATTAATTTTGTCACAATAGTTAACAGCTGATCCGAATATTGGTTTTGCATTTGTTCGAAAAAACGAAAAGTACTCACAAATTTTATAATATGCCCACGACGTAAACCTCTTTAAATCATTTACTTTTAAAGATGAAATGATGATGTTGCAGACAGCCCTTTGGTTGCTTAGAGTGATAGAAATGATTTGCCATTGAATTAAAAAAAAAAAATTATGAGGGTGTGCTTTTCCATTAGATCTGTGCACTCCTCACTATATACTAGAGCTAGTTTTTAATTTTATTTATTTTGAAGTTACTATGGACCCTAAGCTTAATTTTAATATTTATATTAATACAAATGCTTTTGAAAGCTAAACGTGCTCTTAGTTTTGTTGATCGCTGTTCCAAACAATCCAGAAATCCGCTTGTTACGAAAACTCATTTATAACTTTGGTTAGGCCTATATTGGAATATGGCTCTGTGGTATGGGACCCTAGTTAGAAAATCTACTCTGACAAGTTAGAGTCTGTTTAATAATAGCTTTTACATTTCGCCGCTGGATTCTAGGTTAAGTCGTCCTCCATACACTCGTCGTTTAAAACTTGTAAATCTACCCACATTTACTAGTCGTAGGGAAATGCTTAGCATAAATATTCTTAGTTAAAATTCTGAATTGAAGAATTTGCAATACTTTTCTCTTGTCTGAAGTAGCTTATTTCTGTCGCGATATCTTATAGTGACCGATATATATGGTATTAATACATTATAATTAGGATACGGGGCTTAGACCACGATCTAGATCAACTTCATTTATATTCAACGCTAAGCCACTGTTTGAAATTATTGAATTATCATAAACATATATTGACCTACATTAAGGACTTAGCTTGTGTCTCGTTAACCAAATTTCACAAATTTTCTGCATTAACCTTTAATGTTCTCAATATATCTTACATACATAGTAACCGGTATAAAGAAAACCGGAAATCCTTCTGTCGGTTATATGGGGGTTAGAGGAAGTATTGACCCGATTTTATCTATTTTTGACATATTATCACCGAAAAAACAGTTACTCCATGAGTTTCATAAAATAAATTCGCTAATTGACCAATGTATATCGAATTCGTAGTTGCCAGAATGTTCTAGAGACGAAATTTATTTAAAGATGTACTCTATAAGGACTGTCAGCAAATACAGTTCTAACGAGCAATAACTGCTAAGTTGTTGGAATTAGATATAATGATAAGTGTATAGCCATTAAATTGGAACTTTTATTTAACAATCCAGAGATCGAACTCAAGAGTGAGTTACAAGGTAGACGATTTATCGAGAAATTCGTTATAATATAAGAAAAATTATGAACATAAGAAGCCTTCTTAGTATCGTATTGTATTTAAAAATCCCTTTCAAAGTGTAATAGAAAATCAAGTATCATTTGATATTTCCGTAGTGCATCAAACTTACCGTGTGTAACTTCGCCAAAGAGGTCGAAGCTTCTCCTGTCCACCAACATCCCACACAAGAAATTGTATTCCTTTTGCTTTACCAAGTATACCCTGCACCTGAAAAAATATATGTGTACTGCGTTTAATGACAACACGATTCTTAGTTATGAAGATTATTATTATAACTTAGTAGAATAGTGTGTCCAAATTCAAGTCGATCTTGTTTTGTGGACGTTTAACATCAGATTTTAAAACATTTCTCCGCAACTCTCGTTTTTAAAATCAGTGCCTATCATAACTTCTAAACTATTGCACCGGCCGTTATATACACTATTTCTATACTTTATTTACAAGGCAACGCTGGCGAGGTTTTTTCCAAATTTTTTAATATTTTTCATTTTATAATAACAAAGTAATCGATTTTTACACAAAAGATTTCGTGTCGAAATTCGACCAATAGAAAATACAATTTACTAACAGTGTTAATAGTATTTAAATTTATCGAAATACTTGAACAAAATGTAAACAAAATCTAAAGAAAGTTGGAAAAAACAAATTACATACAATTAAGGAAGGGCTAAGTTCGGATGTAACCGAACATTTTGTACTCTCGCAAAGTCAAATGGTATACTCGTTTGCGATTTCTTTGTGGATTGATTGATATTTTCGGTAGCAGGTCAACTATACGCACTGGGGCCCATATATTTAGTATTTAAGGGCTTGAACAGTTTTGGTTCGATTTAGACAATTTTTGGTCACAAGGTCACATTAAACGCATTATTCGCGCAAAGTTTTACCCCGATACAATCACTGTTGCTTGATTTGTATACTGGAAAGTGAAATAATCAGATGGAATTGAAAATGGTGTTATATAGGAAATAGGCGTGGTTGTATTCCGACTTCGCCCATTTTCGCACTATAACATAGAAATATGAGAAGAATGTTACGTACCGAATTTGGTTCATATTGGTGAAGCAGATCTCAAGATAAGGGTTTTCACCTAAAAGTGGGCTGTGCCACGTTCACTGTCCAATTTTGAACGCGATTCCTACAAAGTCATCTCATACCATTCCACATATTTAGTACTTAGGGGCTTGAACAGTTTTGGTTCGATTTAGACAATTTTTGGTCACAAGGTGGCATACTTTAAACGTATTATTCTCGCAAAGTTTTACCCCGATATAATCATTGTTGCTTGATATGCATAGTGGAAAGTGAAAGAATCAGATGGCATTGAAGATGGTGTTATATGGGAAATAGGCGTGGTTGTAGTCCGATTTCGCACTATGACATATAAATATAAAAACAACGTTACACACCGAATTTGGTTGAAATCGAATAAGCAGATCGCAAGATATGGGTTTTCACCTAAAAGTGGGCGGTGCCACGCCCACTGACTCATTTTGAACGCGGTTCCTATAAAGTCATCTCATACCATTCCAGATATAAAATTTAATATCTCTGGCGTGTTTAGTGTTTGATTTATCGCGCTTTTAGTAGTTTTTACCAGTATTACGTTATATGGGGAGTGGGCGAAGTTGCCACCCGATTTCAACTATTTTCACACCGTCAATAGAAGTGCTAAAAACATTTGCTTCTAGTGAATTTTGTTATTATAGCATTAGCGGTTTAGGAGATATGCACATTAAACCTATTAGAGGCGGGACCACGCCCACTTTTTAAAAAAAAATTTTGTCTGCAGATGCCCCTTCCTATTGTGATCCTGTATACCAAATAAGAGTCTTGTATCTTGTTGTGGAGCTTAGTTATGGCAAGTTATTTGTTTTTGATTAATGGCGTTTTGTGGGCGTGGCAGTGGTCCGATTACGCCCATCTGCAATACCAACCGTCTCACGGTACCATGAAACATGTCTACCAAGTTTCATAAAGATATCTCAATTTTTACTCAAGTTAGAGCTTGCACGGACGGACGGACAGACGGACGGACGGACAGACAGTCACCCGGATTTCAACTCGTCTCTTCATCCTGATCATTTATATATATATAACCCTATATCTAACTCGATTAGTTTTAGGTGATACAAACAACCGTTAGGTGAACAAAACTATTATACTCTGTAGCAACAGGTTGCGAGAGTATAAAAATAACTATCGACACTTGAAATTAATCTAAAAATTTTAACTCACCAAAGTAAAACTAATGATATCAAAGGTTATTTCCACTTCAATGTGCTTTTTTTACAAAGAATACTTGAAATTTAATGTGCGTAAAAAATGTAATTGTAATAAAATTCAGTGTTGCAACACGCAAAATCCAAACGCAATTAAAAGTGGAAAAAAATTGCAACCACAGATCCGCCGTAAACGATACACAATTATCCAATATATGTATTTGCAACTTATATAGAACAGCGACGAAATGTACTTCTCTATACGACTGTGTTAAGTGTGAAAACGCGCCACGGCGCGCCACGGCTAAATTGTCTGTGTTTCCGTTGTGCCCTTCTGCACCTTTTCTCCTTTCCAACGGTATAAATTTTATCCATATATTGTACATATGTCAACACAATCAAAAAGGGAACGCAAACTTTTTTGTTAGCGTAATTATATATAATATAATTACATCAACAGACAACGTAAATTCTTAGAAAATAATTTATGATAACAAAATATGAAAATAATTATTACTTGAAAATTCATATTGTTTAAATAGCAACGATTTTAAGATCCTATTAATTATAAAATTAGATATATGTATTTTTTTTACTTTTTTAATATTATTTGTCTCTAAGCCCTTAATATTATGAATGTGATGTCAGGTTATATCGATGTTATGGGTTGTCGATCTGATGTGCATCACGGTTCTCGTGTGCAGGGTATAATGCCTGATTTGGTGTGCATTTCATTCGAACCTCTTTATATTTCAGCCGTCTGTGTGCTATATTGCGCGCCAACAGTATTCTCTATTATGTGTAACCTTAGTGCAATAGTCGTCAGGACGACCCTAAGACAAGGTGTCGAGGTACCCGTGCTGATGGCTGAATAGTCATCGGGCGTTAACAGAATAGCTGATCGCAAACAGACCCCTTCCATGCCCGGACCATGTCGAAGGGATTTATGACATGAATGGACATAGCAAACAAATACAAAATAACAAAAATAAGAACAACCAATAATATTATATGACGACCAACGTTCTGACAGGGACAACGACCAAGACAACGACGCATAGATAAAATGTATAAATAAAGCGCAAAAAATAGACAGTGGAGGAGTATAAAAGTTTCTTGGAAAGGAAACAATCAGAACCTCCCGTCGAAACCAAAACTGGAAACTTTGGGAACTCTGCCCAAAAAGCTCAGTAAAGGAGGAACAGAACACCACACAGCATCAGCAGCAAGGCAATTTAGCGACGTGACCAGAGACAGCCTGCAGAAAGACGACATCCACGACACCAGCCAGTTGCTAAGGGAAGTGGCGATAAAAGAGTACGTCCAAGAGGCTTAGATGCATGCAGACAAATCTGCAACACTACAAAAGTATTGCAACAGATCTGGCATAGTCTAATTCATGAACCCTAGGTGACAGATGACGCGATCAAAGGGCTCAATACCAGTAACTACAACATCTATTAAAAGCAAAACGAAGGTAAACCGCATTTCTTAGTTCTAACTACAGCGAAGCATCTAGCACAGTGGTAAGGACGGAACAGGAAGGAGGTAGCTTTTTTCTAATGCCGCTATATATGGCCCACGACAGGGACATGCCGCCTGTATCCCTCGTAAGACCAATAACGGAAAAAAGAATAGAGGATATTCTAATATGGTGTGACGCCAGTGTAATTTCTTCCTGTTCATAATAGTTGGTAAAATGGAAAACAATTCGCGCGAATGCGCTTTTTCTTGGTTATTAGGATTCAACTGTTGCAGTCAGTGCAATCTAGTTACGATTGTGCACTTGCTTTATTTAAAAAAGGAAAATAAGAAACTTTTTAAAATTACAACATTGCTGTTTCTTCAGGTGATTGCTATTTCATTAATAAAGGCAGCCAAATTTACAGAGTGGACAACAACCTGCAGGGTTGCATTTCAGTTTCAACTCGATTTGTATTCGACTAAGAATTAATGTAGTAAATAAGGTTTTTTATTTTGTTTGGTGAATTAGCGCGTTAATCGAGCAAAAGCCTGTTAATTGATCAATTAGCTCCTCTGCGAAAAGGCTATAAGTATATGTATGTACAATAATATGCATGTGCACATTGATTTTCCCCAAGTGCAGCAAATTTTTCGGGTTGGGAGGAAGTCTTGTGTCCAATGCTATCAACAGAAAGAGATAGCCTAGATATGCATGTGCACATTAATTTTCCCCAAGTGCAGCAAATTTTTCGGGTGGGGAGGATGTCTTCGGTCTAATGCTATCAACAGAAAAAGATAGCCTGGTCGGCGATGACTGGAGGGTGTCCGAGGAGCAATGTAAGTCGGATCACTCATAGATACCCTTTGCCATTGCCGAGAAATCCAGTATTCCCCTCCAATATCGAAACCCAAGCATGGGATAAATTTATGAAGATAACAACAAAAAGCTTAAAAACAAGCAGGTATAAAAATAAAATCAGTAATTTTCAAGATTGACCACCTTTTTCAATTAATCTATACCGTTAACTGTCCTCAAAAAAAATAAGCCGCCGCCTTGGTGGACCTTAAAAACCTAAAAACTCAGTTGAGAAAAGCCTTCAATGAGAGTTATACAACCAAAATCTGGCAACAATGAAAAAATTTCATGAAGCAATTCAAAACAAAAAAGAGTCAGGAAAGCAAAGGCAGACCAGACCCTTGGCAATCTTTCTGCACTTTGATAGAAAGCTGTAGAGAATCAGCTAAACTGAGTAATATAATGCCTAAGCAATACATAAATATATCTTATTTAAAGACGAAAGGTGGAGCCTGGACCTCCTCTGCTGGATAATCCCTTGAATAACTCCTAGAAATACACTTCCTGGTAGTCAGCAAACCACTGTAGAGATACAACCTGACATACTTAGAAATACGGCAGACGGATCCAATCTCATAGTAAGTCATAAGAAAATTATATACGCTATAAACAGGTTCGAGTCATTTAAAGCAGCGGGTCCGGATTTTTGTTATAACAATGCTGAA